TATATATATATATAAATCTTAGTATTTTGCAAAAATTTAAGTGTTGATGATTCTTATTTGTTCAGATATTGTTTAGCAGTGGTCCCCATTAAACAAGTAAATGAAAATATGAAATAAAAATAATTTGTAATGCCGAAAAGAATGCAAGCCTTTTAATAATTTACTAGACAATAATTAATCCTTAAGCCTTCTAACTTAAGTATCATATAGTAATTATTTTTACTAAATTTTACATTGTGATCTAGATTGTTGATAAATAAAATCCAAGGTATACCCAATGTGTTTTTAAAATTTCATAAAATTAAGTTTAGATTCCTTCTTAAGTGATATCGAACTTCTTTATGAATTTAATTTTCAAGATTCATTGGTGTAAACAAAATTAGTCCCATTGCAAAGAAAATTACTTGTAAGGATACCAGTTGCGTCTCATTTCAAATATACCAAGCAATTATTGTAAAAATACGTGTTTATTAGTCAAAATAATAAAATTTTAGGATAATATTAAAATAATTGTAATAGAATTTGTTTTTAAATTATTATTTCAATATATTTTGTTTTCAAATTAGTTGTAGACTTTCCTTAAACTTATACAAACTAAGAAATGGGGAAACTTCTACGATGGTCCGAAAATGTTAAGACTGGATGATTTTAAATGAAATCAGTCAATTTTATTGTAAAATATTTATCTTATTGTATTAACTAATAATATTAAAAGAAACAATCTCTCCTTCCACTAGTCTCAATCCACTTCGCTATATCCAACCCAATCACAAACAATTTGGGCTTATCTCTTTTTCTTTTTATGACCTTTTCGATGATTCAGTGTCTATTTGGTTTTAGAGCGATAACTAATTTCTCATTCTGTAACAACGTTTTAATATAATTTTTTTTATCAAAATTAATTTAAATTACATTTAATCAATCAAAGTTTATTTTATTTTATAGACAATAATTGTCTTTCACAAGAGACATTTTGTTCGAGTATAATAAGAGTGACAAAACACTTTTATCGCATCATTAACGCATCCTTTTATCCCTAAGCTCCCTATCTTCTTCCATCTGGATAAGAAATGTAAAACTAATACTAACCCGTTCGGCATCTTTGGTAGCCTAAACTTGTTCGGCACCCTCGACAGCCTGAACCCGTTCGGTACCTTCGGTAGCCTAAACCCGTTCGGCAGCCTCGACAACCTAAACCTATTCGGCACCTTCGGCAGCCTGAACCTATTCGGCACCTTCGACAGCCTGAACCCGTTTCGGCACCCTCGACAGCCTGAACCCGTTCGGCACCTTCGGTAGCCTAAACTTGTTCGGCATCCTCGGCAGCCTAAACCTATTCGGCCTTCAGATTACGAGAAGATTACGAGTGTACCTCCCAGACAAGTATTACCCTCTACGTCGCTTCGCTCCTCAAGGCTGGGGGGCTTGTGTACCGGAAGGGTCCTATCGGCCACGTGGACCGACATGTGATGTCCTATCGGACTTCGACACAATTCTCGGCACGACCTCGGCTCGGCAGAGGGCTGAAAACTAAGGATAACCCAACCCTTTTTCTATCGGCTCGGCCAAAGGCTGAGAACGAAGAGGTTGTCTCGACCTTTTCCTATTGGCTCGGCTAAGGCCGACAGAGCCAGATAGTAGTTAGGATGATGATCATGATTAACAAGGGGAAGCACGCGATTAAGGCCACGTGGACCGACACGTCAATAACCTAAACCTGTTCGGCACCTTCGACAGCCTGAACCTATTTGGCACCTTCGACAGCCTGAACCCGTTTCGGCACCCTCGACAGCCTGAACCCGTTCGGCACCTTTGGTAGCCTAAACTTGTTCGGCATCCTCGGTAGCCTAAACCTATTCGGCCTTCAGATTACGAGAAGATTACGAGTGTACCTCTCAGACAAGTATTACCCTCTACGTCGCTTCGCTCCTCAAGGCTGGGGGGCTTGTGTACCGGAAGGGTCCTATCGGCCACGTGGACCGACATATGATGTCCTATCGGACTTCGACACAATTCTCGGCACGACCTCGGCTCGACAGAGGGCCGAAAACTAAGGATAACCCAACCCTTTTTCTATCGGCTC